GGTTCCGAATCCGAGTGGTGAGCTACCAGTTCACAGTGAAGTATGTTCCTGGCAAGTGCCTCGCCACTGCCAGCATGTTGTCCAGAAACCCGAGGTCCTAGCTCCAGCCGCGTGTACTGCAGACAGCGTCGAGCTCCTCGTGTCACAGGTTGTGACTGCACACTCTAAGACAAGAGGAGGGAGAATTATAGCAACACGTTTTTAGATGCGGAGCATCTCTTGCTCGGGTCCATGTCCCGCGGCGTCGTAGTCCGCACTCACACTACGCATGCGCAACTCTCCTCCTTCCCTCTCTCCAACAGCTGCGCGTTACTCTCTCCGCTCTCTCTCTCTACCAGCTGCGTGCACTTCGCGTGCGACGACTGGTGCCACCTAGGCGTAGCGACGTTGGGTAGCTACAGTACAACTGCTAGGCAGACAAACCAATGCCGAACTTACATGAATAAATAACTCGAGCAAAATATTTGAAATCGGGCTGTAACTTCCGCCACCAATTGAAATTTCTAGCAGCATATGAAAAAAAAAAAAAAGGAATCTTTTAGAGCGCTGCGAAAAATCACGAGATGACAGTGACCCTACATACATCGCAGACCACACGAGCACCACATATTACACAGCACCGACATAGACATATGCACAAACACTACAAAGGCACTGCGCCCGACACTTGCTGCTCGAGATGCTTTCTCCCCGCGGCGCATATAAGCTTGACTTGTGCGGGTGAGATCTTTGGTCGCCTGTCGTTACAGATTTATACAATAAAACGCAAAACACGGCGCAAAGGAAAACCGTGTGGAAGAACTGTTCGCATTTAAAATGTATGTAGTCGAAATCTATAACGTTAGTAGGTAGCGAAAAATAGAGATGCATTAACAATAAATATTAAACCGGTCAAGAAAAATTTCAAATTTTTTGTTATTTTCTTACTTGACCAGTGCTATGAGCAGTCCGACTAGCTTGAATCAGATAAAAATAAAAAAAAAAAAATTTGGGATTTTATTATTATGTATTTAATAATAAATGGAAATGATCCTTGCGCAAAGCATCTTTTATATATAATCTTGTAAAGGACATCCGTCCAACACTTCACTTCCGCTAGTTGCAGTGCGCGTACTGGAGCAGACGCCTTCACTTTTGGTGCGTTTGATGCAGTTTGATATCGTATGTCGTGTCGTTATCGGTTGGAGCGGTGAGGCTTGGGAGTTTGTGACCGTTGTTATTCGTGATCCCTGCTAAGGCGCTGATGCGTTTCTTTCTTTTCATACCGCCACCACCCCGAACTTTGGAGATTCACGGGCCCGGGGCACTGCATTATGCGGAATTGCGAGCTCCTTCTCTGTTGACGTCGTTTTCCTGGTACCACTCGTGGATACTGCAAGCGTTTAAACAGTGTGCCCCGTCTTGCCTACATCCCCAGTGACGTACTCGACCTGTTGAAGCTCGCACGAGATTGCTCCCTCATACGGTGGTAATTAAAAACGAGGTCACCGACTTCCGCATCAGCGTCGTACTTGACGAGCTAGTGCTGTTGATGAAGTCGTTTATCGACCCTCACATGAACGAAACTAAGCCTTGTGACCTCTATACTCGCGGACAGCTTTCTGTGGCTTTGCAGCCAAAGGTAGAGCGCATGCGCTCGCGCACACTGAATGCCAATTGAAGCCGTGCGCGCGGCTTTAATCGGCGCTCAAGGTGCGCGGCGCGCGCGCTCTACCTTTGACTGCATAGCCAGAAAGTTGTCCACGAGTATAATCGGAAATGCATTTTGTAAACGCAGAAGGAATAGTGGAAGAACTTACTAAATTGATGTGATGACCTGGTCGAGTCACAACCTAAATGAGTAATTTAAACCCCCCGTCCCCCCAGACTTCATCCAGCCCCTAGCTCCTCCGAATGAGTCTAAAAGTGTGAACAGCAGCAGAGGTTCTTATTTGCACGACGTTTAGAGAGGAGTCCTCCAGAATTTCTTACATAGGGTTCAAGTAAGGCACTAGCCCCCATCTGAAAGAGTAAGTATATTTGGGATGTCAGAAATTTCTAGCTTCCTAGAAATTTATGACCCACCATTCTTCCAACAGAGTGAGAATTTCAGATAAACCCCTGACTTGAACGCTTCCCTCTCATTGTTATTTTTACAACCGTACCAAAGCGCAGGCAGTCTGCAACGACACCACAGCTAAGGCCCTCCATTCCTGCCACCCCTATATTCTGTTCACCCCTAAGCTGACATGGCGTAGAAGGCTGCATTCTCGCCGTTGGAGGTTGCATCCTCGCCGGCCAACCAATTGCTGGTCTTTTATCGCCTGACATCTTTGCTAACAGTGTAGAGTTAAAATTTGTGACTTCGTAACTGAAATGGCTACACACGTGACGTTGTCGTCACGGCGCGACTCAGAACGAACTGAATTTTTCTTTTGACTGCACTCGTGGCGGCGACCGCTGCCGCGGCCACGACGGAGTGGACGATAAAAAATGAGGATTCAGCTCCGTGGGAATTTTGACCCAAACTCCGAACGCGCACTTCACATTCGCTGTTGCGCCTCATATTTCAGAAAAATTTTCTCGTTATTGTCACCCTTCCTGGCTCAGTAAACGTACTCAACACCTTAAAACCCCCCTTTTCCAGCCATCAATTATACATTCATGTACTTCTAGCATCATACAGAAACAAAAACATTCACAGCATTCGGCGGGAGTTGGTACTACGAAGGCGCCAGAGTATTCGGTGCCCCAGTATACTTCCGGTACTGTATTTATGTGTTCATCAGCAGCACACAGTGATCGGGTAAGAAGATTTTCCTGGGGAGAAGTACCTGTAGTACGTACGCAAGAGCCTGCACGCGTTGTAAAACGTAGTACAAATAGCAAAAAGATGCGAGACAGGAGGAAAAGAACGGAAAAACCGGAAGCGCGCAGGGGTCCCCCGATAGCTGATGTCAGCGAGCTTGTTTGGAAACAAACATCGGTGAATACATGCCGCGCTATGCGAATCCTTTAAGATCATCCCAGCACATTCTTACTTCGCAACTTAATCACGGTGGGAATATGCGGATCTGGCGGCGCCGCCGCTTTCGCCGCTCCACCCCGGCTCCCGCCAGCTCCTTTCATTGGCCAGACTCTCTCTGTACACGGCTGTGTTGGAGCCAGTTTGCCGACTTGCGTCATCTGCTAAAGTTCTGGTGGCAGGTTGTGATTTTTTTTTCTCCAAGCGCTTCAAACCACTCCTCTTTTTGCAATGTCTGATTTGACGAAATACGTGTGGCCGCAAAATGCTGCTTTTTTGGGGTGTGTGTATGTGATTGTGTAAGGGGGGGGGGGGGGGGTACGGCAGTGGAAACTCTTGTAACGCTTCAGACAGCTTTTAAAGAAAATGCAATGAAAATATTGGAGGTTTACTAGTTGTTTCTCGCTTCGAGGCCGGTGAATTATTGATCGACGACCAACTCCGTTCAGGGCGACCCTCAACCTCCTAACCTAATGAAAACATCGACAAAATTCAGGCATCGATCACTCCGAGTTTGGTCCTTAGGTGAAGCTGTTAATCAGGTATTTTATCTGGGAGATTTGTGACGCTTGCGCAACACGGCGAGGCAGAAACACCCCAATTAGTGGAGAAGGCGGAAGTCGTGATTCCATCACGACAATGTACGAGCACACTGTCCTGTCGGTGCAGCAATTTTTTTAACACAAATAACAAGACACCGTTCCTCCCCCCTCCCCCCGCCGGCGCCCTTCACCGGACCTCGCCCCGTGTGACTTTTTTTTCTGTTCGCCCGTATGAAAAAGATCCTAAAAGCATTAAGTTTTGTGGATGAGGAAAGTTCTTCAAATCAAACGTTCGCCGGTAAAAACTGTTACTGTGGGGCTCGCCACCAAGCCAAAGGATACAATAAAATATTATCATCACAATTATCATCGGTCTACGGAACTTAGGAGCATGGCGAAATGACTCGCCTCTGTCCACAGCGCCCAAACTTTTGGCAAGAAAGAAGTTGATCGAAATTGGGAGGCCCATCTTTTCAAAGCGCGAAAGGTGTAGAGCAAATCTCTGTGCACGTAAATAAAGTTAAGAAAGGTATTGTCATTCATGACGACAAAAAATATTTCTGTGCCTGTCCCTCTGACCCTGACAGTATCCGCAGGACAAATGTAGATTCGCACTAAATCTTGCTTTCTGAAACATCATCCAGCGAAACAACGAAAAGACCGTAGCAGCAAATAAAAATTAAGGATAAACAAAGATTAACTTACCTGTCTCTATTCTGATTATGAGAACAATGAAAATGCAAGCTTCAGGCCGCTTGCTCAGACTTGACAGCGTGCTTTCACGCGATTTTGTCTCAGTTTCTGGTTTGGTTATACTATATGCGAAGCATGCGGAAATCCACAGAACTGGCTGGCTCAATTTTTCCGCTGGGCGGCCGAGCGTTTGAATAAACCGGAGCAGAACGCGCGAAACATCTCTGAGGCCATGGGCCAGCCCTGCAGAAATTCATTCTGGCTAATTTTGGGTCCCCCCTCGTATTTTATGCTCCTAATGAAACTTCTGCTCGTGAACATAAGGTGGTTTGAAGCTGAATTACAGGGAAATGAATGTTACTTGTTTGGTGATTTTTCAAGTACAGAAGTAATGTTTATGCCTTGAATACCAGCGCTACTGCTTTAGGCGTCTTTATTGACTTCCTAATAGTTAAGCTTACCATTTAGAGGCAAGTTATGTTATAGTCATTGAAAACAAATAAAAAGTAAATAATAAGAAACGATATAAAATATTTAAGGTTTGGACAAATGTGGTGTGCAGTCTGAATCAAAATATACATGTTAAGAGTAAGGAAAATATGAAAATTCTTTAGTATCTAAATTATGCTTAAATGCGTATTTAAATATTTGTTGCTTGCTGATAATCTGCAGTTTTATGACAACGTTTATGGGGTCTCAATTACTAATTTCTGACCAGTTAAAATATGAGACATGATGTGATTAAGACTTTGTACTTTCAGATAACCGACCTGCGAAAGTAAAACTAATCACCCTCTCGAACGTGACGTTTGCTATGATGGTAACCGGATTGAAGAATGGTGCATCGACTACTACACCTTCGAGTTACAGTCTTGACGAAAACAGCCCGACAAAGTTTACAAGAACCTACCGACTTCTATTTCAAAAATTAATAACGGAAGGTGCATTTAAAACGGCGCTGGACGCTGCCTTCCAAAATTCTCAGAAACCCCAATTATATTTGTGAAAAAGAATAGAATACGTCAAAAAAGAAAAGGCAAAAATAAATAAAATAAAAAAAACGGAATAGCAAAACGACTTGGAGATGCTAGACCTGCTGCCGCAACTAGTTTTTTTGCGAACTTCCTTGAACATCCGTTTTTGAAAAATAAAACTTAACAATTTGACGTAACATAATTGTTTTAATACCACATCAAAGCCTGTGCATGATATCGCTATAAAGCTTATAATTCACACCCGTAATGTTTTATCTTACCACTCTCAAGATTAACTAAACGTTAGTAGCGCTATGATGAAATAAAAAGCATCACGCAAAAAAGCCCCAAGTTTGTAACTTAATGTACATACATTTCGTAATATTTTATTTCCTGATCTTTGACTTGTATCCCTTGACATGAATTTCAGACATATCGGTAGTTTAGCCCCATGTTGTAGTGCAAAACCTTCGTCCAAATTGCGAGCAAAAAACACACTTGTCGTGTAAGGCTCCTCGGAATATAAGGCGCCAGGTTGGAGTATCAAGCTGTTAATAATGCTTGGTTACAATCTTGGCGTCGCTTTTAATATTGTAGCGATTCTCACATTATTCAGCACCGTCATGTCGAAATTTTTATTGAACATGTATGATCCTACATTACGGTTACCAAAGTGATGTTCCCTAGCGAAAAAGCCATTTGTATGAGAAATTTCTTGTGTCCAATAAACACAAATGAATCATACAACATATATAAGAACATATAAAAAACCATATAAGAGCTATATGAGAACTATAAAAGATATATAAGAACGTATAAGAACCGTATAAAAAAACGTATAAGAAACTTCTCACAAGTTTCTTATATGTTCTTATATTTCCTGTATGATTCGTGTCTTTATTGGACACAAAAATTTCTCATACAAATGAGGTTTATTAATAGGGTTACAACAATGCAAGCTATTTTTATTTGCTCAGCATGTTCGACGCTCATGGCATGTTTTTCAAATCTCGAATGACATATCACGGACGCCAGTCCAAAGTTTCAACTCACTGAACGACTGCATAAGTGTTTTCAGAGTGTCGAACCGGAACCGAAGCGAACCGAAAACCGGAACCGAACCGCTATTTTTAGCCGTACCGGAACCGAACCAAACTGAAATCTTCGCCGCCATCTTGGACAATATTTTAAAAAAGCTGCGGAAAAAGGACTAGACAGAAAGTAGAAGGACACAGGACATACGCTGTGCGCGCGTGGTGGGTTTAGTAAACCTTTGGTTGTTAGAAGAAAAGGGGCGGGGAGGGGGAGTTTTAAAAACATAGACTGTTGTAACGATTCCTCAGCTCCAAATCTTCAGCACAGACCAGAAAGCGTAATCCTGGAAACTGCTTTGTCTGCAAAAATACTCTTGCAGGAAAGCGCGCTTTCGTTGTGCCAGACGCTGGCGCCGTTCCTCACGAAGCTACACCAATCAAAAATAATTTGTGTCTGAAATAAACGGCTCTCACTGAGCGCGAACCTTCTGCAACATGCATTTTTCACCACAGGATTTGACTTTTTTAGCAAGGACACATCTTAATGACCACCAGCATATAGAAAAATGACGCCAAGTGCAAACCACGTTAAACAGTTCCGTTTCCTGGTGAAATGCGTTGTTCTCAACACTAGCAAAAGTATATGTCTGCATTGTAAAGTTGCGCAGAATATATTGTCACGAATGACAATGGATGAGGCGGTGATAACTGAAGAAATTAAACGTTTATTGGGGGCGAACTTGTGCCCGAAAATAAAAGGAAAGAGAAGATAACAGCAAAGCGTCGCGGGCGTCGAAGTCGGCGTAAGAGCAGGGTCGAACGCTGGGGCGAGACTGACTCGACAAGGTTGCGGGTGGCCACTTATCTAGAGTGAGTCACTATCTCGATGATTCGGCGCAGAAAGTTCGAGGAGCATAGCGCGCTCGGGGCGAGAATGAGCACGCACTTTCTAGAACAACAATAGCAGGGATAAACGATAGAAGGTATGTCCGCAGCAAGAATAAACAAGAACCTTCAACAAGTCCGTGACCCTGCGCGCGGCAATTTAGCGATTCGCGATGACATGGGGTAGCCTCATTAGATATTAGAGCGCGCATGACTGATAAAGCAAGGTTGTAAAGCGAGAGCCCAAAAAATAGAAAAAGAAAGTCTTACAAATCTCTGCAATGCGAAATTAGAGCATAGCTCTTGAGGAGGAGAAGGGGAGGGTACGGAGGGGAAGGTATGCCTCTCCTCCTCCTTCCATCTTTCTCCTCCATCTCCTCTTCTCCCCACCTCCTCCAATTCTATTTCCCCGCTCAATTTAGCTGGGAAAATGAGCGGGGAAATCGAATTGGAGGTGGTGGAGAGAGGAGGAGGACGAGGAAGATGGATGGAGCTCTTAGGCGCCCGTTTCCGGGTTCAGCGGCGTCGGCGTCGCCGTCGGTGTAACCGCGCTAAATTTAGCTGGGAAAATGACGTCACATGACTTGGTGTCACGTCACCTATAAACAAATTCAGTTTTTCCGCTAGATTTAGCGAGAAAATTGACCGTCGCATGACCTCAACAACAATTTAATTCCCCGCAAATTTAGTTAGCGGGGAATTAAATTGGTGTAGAGGTCACATGACGTCAATTTTCTTGCTAAATCTAGTGGAGAAACTGCATTTGTCTGCTGAACCTAGCGGAGAAACTGAATTTGGCAGCTAATTTAGCGGGGAATTGAATTGATGTGGAGGTCACGTAGCGGGCAATTGAACTGGTCTTCTTGAGGTCCAGGTGACGTCAATTTCCCCACTAAATTTAGCGCGGTTACGCCGATGCCGACGGCGACGCCGACGCCGCTCAACCAGGAAACGGGCGCCTAAGAGCTGCGCTCTAAAACAATGTGCACGTTAAACAGAATGTAACATTAGCCTCCCCAGACAGTATTTTCCGAAGTTTCGAGCCTGTGCAAGTCGATGTCTGAATGTGATTTACATTAGAAATATATTGTCTGTCCCTCGCGAAATTGATGTGTAATTAAGAATATCAGTGCATACATCTCTATGTAATTAATTTTTCAGTAAGGCGTTGTGTATGAGATCATTAGAAAAAATACCTTTCATTTTTTTCTATTTCTGCACATTTCGCGCAGAAACGTGCAGAAATCTGCTGTTTCATATTTTTGGTACCTGAAAGTGAAAGTGGACTGTACGAGTGATAAAGAGCTACATACTTACTCGTTTCACGTTGAAAATAGCGCCTATTGAAAAAACAACGCGAAATATGCATTCTCAATTTAGCGGTTCCAACCGGTTCGAACCGGTTTGAACCATTATTTTCGAACCCCCGAACTGAACCGGAACTTACCAAAAAGCCGTGAACCCGAACCGGAACCGAACCAATAAAAATTAGAAACACTCTGAGTGTTTCGACCAATTTGGATTTCTAAATTACTTTGAAAAACTACATATATTTTTAATATTTGAATTGCAAAAATTCCGTTAAAATAAACAGAATATATTATTTTAAAGCACTTTTAATATTGCTGCGTGCATGGCTGAGATGCAACGCTTACCTCCAAAATATTCGAGTTTGCTTATACTCCGAGTGTAAAAGATAAGGGGCCAGATTGACCTTGCCGAGCCAGTCTCGCCATAGTTGACTTGCGATATTCTAGGTAGAATATTCGAGATACCAAGTGCAGTAGATAATGTGCCAAGCGCGGTCTTGACGTCTTAATCAAACTCTGCCGACGACTACGCACTAACGCTAACCAGCTGTCACGCCGACGCACCGGCGCTCGCTGCTGCTTTCTTGACGCTTTTTATTTCTTTTGTTTCTGGCACAAGCTTGCCGATTAAACCTTCATTTTCAGTTTTATGCATTTCAATACGTTGCCACCCGCGAAATTTCTGGTAGAAGTGCGCGGTATCGTATTCTATGCCCGTGAAGCGTACCTCTTAGAAAACACGACGGCCAAGCGAGGTCCTCAGCCCAAACAGCTGTGGCTTCGGCGAAGACGCCGAAGCCAGAGCAAACCACCGCACCAAGGACCAATCCCCGAAATTCGAACTTTTGCCGGAAAATCCAAAGAAAAGAAAGGAAACGGTAAGCACCCAGTCGCCGCAGAACCTGGTTCGACCATCCGTCGTCGTGCTGCCCGTCGCGCCACGCCTACTCTGACGCCCTTCCATGGCGACGTCTACGAGGACATCGACGACTGAACACAGCACCACGAGTGAGTTGCCCGTCATAATGGGTGGACGCCAGAAAAAGGGCTCCAGACCGTTTACTTCTCCTTCGAGTGAACGGCTCGTACCTGGTATGAAAACCTCGAGGCGACGATCGCCACCTGGGAAGCATGCAAAAATGAGCTGCGCCCAGTGTTCGCGGCCCAGCAGCGAAGAGAGCGCACAGAGAAACTCATGGCTCTAACGAAAGCATCGTCAGCATCGTCGAGAGCGTGTCTCGACCCAGCAGTCGAGGGGATCCCAAAGCTTCTGAGGCGAAGAAACTGAGAATCTTCTTGCGGGGTGTCTTCTGCGCTTCGTGGCAGAGGACACAAACATCGAACATGGCCTCCAGGCACGGACCTCGCACCAAATTTAGCAGAAAAATGTAACCCTCGGGACGTCGCACGTGACATCACGTGTGACGTCATCATGGGAAACGTCCTATAATGCAACGCACGGTTACGCCGTCGGCGACGGCGACGGCGACAGCTACGCCGCTCTACCTGGAAACGGGCGCCTAAGAGCTGCGCTACAAAAATTAAACACGTTTGCAAATCCCTGTAATGCGAAATTAGAGCGCAGCTCTTGAGGAGGAGGAGGAGGGGAGGGGATGAAAGGGAGGGCATGCCCCTCCTCCTTTTCCGTACCATCTCCTCCTCCTCTTCGCCTCTCCTCCTCCTCCATCCACTCCCCCTCCTCCTCTGTACCCTTCCCTTCTCCCCCAGCGTAACCACTCATCCTCCTCCACCGTACCCTACCCTCCTCTTCCTTTATACCCTCTTCTCCTCCCAGTTTCCTCGCTAAATTTAGCGGAAAAGTTTACACCACGTATCCTT